ACAACATAGAATTACATAAAAATAAAATAGCCAATAATAATAATGTAGCAACTATTTCCAGTTAAGGTGAAAGTTTAACTACTACAATTGTAGTCATAACTCCATCTAGTCTACCATCAATATATTTATTGAAGTAAAAGCAAAAACATGCAAGCTTTTTTTCATTAAAGTTTAGTTAATATAAACTTGTTATGAAAAAGGATTATGGTATGTTCTTACAATACTGCAGTTTTAATGGAAATTAAAGCAACCCTTCACCAACCCCACCCATTTTTTTGTTTGTTTTGCTGTGTTTTTTTCATTTTAAAGCCTTTTAAGTCCTGACCTTGCTTTATATTATCACATATGTGGATGGTGGTACATACACAGTCCCCCTTAAGTTAGGAAAGTTTTATGGCTTTTAACTTCGCAAAACATGTTGATATCAGAGTTTTAGATGCACAAATAATAAAGGATCAGTTTCATAGTTTCATAGCCCAAAGCCAGCAAAAAAATTGTTGAATACAAGTATCAGGATTGGGATAAATTTTAATACTTGCATCTTAAAAGTAAATATTTACATTTGAAGAAACAGACAGGATAAATCAATAGATAAATAGTAAATAAATACTGCCATTGCAGAGGGAAACATTTTCAGAGGTCTATATGGGATATAGAGTATATTTTAATGTAGTTATAGAACTTTTGTAATTTTTGATTCAGGATTGTGCTTAATTGTGTAATTATCTCTAAATGGAATTGCTGTCTTTGTACTGGGCTGAAGTTAGGTAACGAATTTCAGCTTTTAAGTCATAAGCAAAGTACAGCTTATGGCATTAATGGCAATTACTCTATACTCCAGAACATTAACAGCTCATAAAGCAAGGTTGATTACAGTAACAACACTCTTCAGATGAGATTCAATTTTCTCATAGCAAGTTTCATTTTACACGTAAAAAAATAAAAATTATAACTGTGTTTTCATTTGGGAATGTGTTTAGTTAAATCAAATATGGCAGTATATTTATCTAAAAAGTATTAATACCAGGGTTTTTTAAGTTCTTACATAAGCTTGAAAGTCTTTCAGAACTATGTATAAGCTGTATGCTTTATGGTTCCATGAAGTATCACAGTTAGATTTTATCTGTTTAAAACTAGTAAATTTCATCATGTAGATTACAATCTACTTATATTTGTGTTGGGTTTCATTCATATATGTGTGT